TGTTTTTCTTTCTTTCTCTCACCCTCTCACTTTTTTTTTTGCTACACGAGCCTTGTGTTTGCTGAGCAGAGGGGGGAGGGGTGGTAGTTACACTCAGGGTAGCACAGGAACAGAGCGGGAGTTAAGAGAAAGAGAGCCAGGCGCAACAACAAGAGATAACATTGTCACATTAGAAAGGTATAGTAAAGAAAATGAGTGACACTAAGAAAAGAAGCAAAATCTGGAACCATTTAAATTTTATTGACAATACAAAGGCAGAGTGTAGAGTCTGCAAGAAAAGGATATCATATAGAGCCGGCTCCACAAATAACCTGCACTGGCACCTGAAAACTGTCCACCCATCAGTGCAATGAGAAGATGAAACAGAGTCTGTTGAGTGTGATATTAATGAAGGTGCCAGTGTATCTACTGCAACTGTTGGTGCTGCTGCTGCATCTACAGCGTATTCCACCACAACCACTTAAATCAACCCAGAGCTCTATTACACAGTTTTTGCAGAAGTCTGTGACCACAGCAAGACAGAACTCAATTGATAAGGACCAGCCAAAAGTGATCGCACTTGATTTCCAACTATTTTCAGTTGTGAATGATAAAGGATTTGGAAAGTTTATTCATGCACTGAATCCTATGTGCATGGAAAGTGTTTTCCAAGCAGGAAAACACTTTCCCAAAAAAATCCCATCCCATCCCAGGCCTATATGAGAGAGAACGGGCATCTTCTTTTTGTTTTGCATATTTGAAATTCATTGTGTTGTGGTTTGCAGTGTTTTGTGTTGTTTCACTTTAAATTTGTTTAAAAGGAAAAAGATGAAAATTTAAATAGTTAAAAGTTGAATTGTAAATAGTTGGCTTTTGTATTTTATATTTTTTTTTTACATTTTATGTGGAGTGAATAAATAAATTTATTTATATAATAAATGTATGTAAATAAAAAACATATCTTTTTACATTAGTAATTTATTTTGTGCATAATTTTATATTATTGTTGATAATAAATTAATTAAAGCAACAAAACAACCTGAAGAGCCGGTTGGGAGTTGAAAGAGCCGGCTCTTTTTAGTGAGTCGAGCCAGAAGAGCTGGTTCTCTAAAAAGAGCCAGAATTCCAATCACTACTCAGCACAAAAAAGGCTGGACTGGTAATCTGGCACATATTGTCTATTTTCATTACTGACACTGGATTGCACAATCAAATCTCTTAAGGCAACCGACCGTTGACGTACCTTGCCTGTGCATTCATGCACCCTGTAGAACAGAGTTTAGTGTGGAACAAGTGGTTGGGAAAGATGGGCAAACAAAATTTTTAAAAAGTGGCGCTAAAAAGCTAAAAAAACTAAAAACAACAACAAAAAAACAAACAAAACAGATGCAGCAAACTGTATCAAATTATGCAGCAAACTGTATCAAATTAGTAACAATAGTTATCAGGCCTGCTGTCAACAGTACTATTAGCCACAACTGGTAATGAGCGCTTGCAGTCACAAGAGGCTGCTGTTGCTGGCTCTTGCTTTGGAGCAGTGTAGGAGGAGGGACAGCAGTTCTAACAACAGAGTGAAGAGATGGAGAAAGGTTGTAAGAAAATAAATGGAAGAACATAATTAGGAAGGGAGAGATTCGAGGATACTTCCTACTTCCACCTGTTTATTTTGTTTCCCCTCCCCCCCCCCATCTACAGCATAATCCGACTTAGTGGTGTGTGTTTCACCTGAAAACTCAGCTAAATGATTATGCCAGAGTGAAATAAATTCTACATTGCACCGGGATGCTTGATGAGGATGTTGAGAATAATTTTGTTGATTGATACCGGTAATAGAAGTGTTACTGTCATGTAATCCCTGTGGCACATGTGGAAGCGGATCCCTGCAAGGCCATAATCAAATTGATTTTTTCTGTTTATAGGTAATGATGGTTTGTGCATAATGCAGGTTGTGGAGCAATCAGGTGGCTGATTTCATTGTACAGCCTGTGACAGATTGGGACAAAAATATTTCGTGTAAAGAAATTTAACAAGTCTTCACTATGTTTGATAAATGTATCGCCACTACAGAGGAATTTGTAGTATGTTCAATATGGGCTGTGCACTGTTATGTGTGTGACAGAATAACTGCCTTATTTACTGTGGTGCAATTCACAGATTAAAGGGGCTCTTTTTTATTTTCATAGTACCTCATGTGAGACAGCATAAATAATAGGGCAACATACTAATCAATCTTTTGGTGTGAGGTACACTTCAAGACCGCCTAAACCAAGACCAAGACAGACCGAGTCAAGACTAAGACAAAGTTGAGACGAGACCAAGACAGAGACCGAGACAAAAAAGTCTTTAAACTGCAGCCAGATGCTGCTTCGTTTACGGGTGTCAGGCATATTTATGTGTTTTTGCGATGCACTCGCACAGCCCTGCTCTCCGCTGTCTACTGTCTCACTCACTTACTGAGAGGACAGACGGACTCTCCACTTGACTGTCGCATCTCTCACCCTCTCTGTTTTTCACATAATGATAATATCCCATATCCTCACATGTGATTGGCCACAATATGGAGGGATTGAAGTATAGCTGAGCCACTGTGTGAGAGCTGAGCAGCAAAAGGAAATTGAGTGGGGCTTTTGCGTATGACACATTATCGAACATTACGTTGTGTGTCATGGATACTGTTGACTCCAAATCTCCCGACCACTATATCGATCTGAGACATCAAGACCAAGACGGCGAGACCAAGACAAGACTGAGGGATCCGAGACCAAGACCAAGACCAAAGTCCGTCAAGACCAACACAAGACCAAGACCACATAAAAGTGGCCTTGAGACTGATCTCGAGACCACTTTTACGTGACTTTACAAGACCGGTCTCGAGGCATCCACCTCTAGTGTGAGGCGAAGAAAGAAGCCTGTAAAACCAATGCGTGACAACTTGATGGGGATAGATAACCATGACTTTGAATAAATAAATAATGGAACCAAATACATGTTTCTTAGGCATGTTACATTAGCTTTTAATAACCACATTGCCACTAAGGAATATTTTAACTTTACTGGACTGTTTCACGAGAAAAAGAGGGAACAAGCAAACTGTCATAAGGATATGGATAAACAACAACAGGGTTCTATGTTACAGTACTCTGTATTCACGGTTATTTCCTCAGTACTGATAATGTGTATAGATTGATTATGGAGTGACAGAGGCCTGTAAGTCTGATTCAGTGTTTTCTCACAAATGTCCTAATGCATACACTCAGGCCTGAGATCTTAGGCAACCGGCCAAAACAACATCCAGAGTCATCGCTTTCTTTAAAGTGAAGTGATCTTACTGAATATACTTATGGGCAGACATTCAATCTGCTTGCTTAAGCAACTAAAGACCATCTCAGTGATTGCTCGCTCAGTAATGCTGCCAAAGTCTTTGCATCCTTGGATGGACAATTAAATTAAGCTTTATAAGTAAATGAAGTTTTTTCTACTACCTGTGGGTAATTCATGTTATAGAGAAGCAGTTCAAAAGAAAGACCTGGGAAACAGTTTGTGTTTTAAACTTCAAACAGTCAAATGTTTATTAGTTTATTTCCACATAAATGTGCATTCTTACATTTAAGCTGCTCTAAACTTAAGAGGTATTTGCAGTGACCGATTGGAATTATATCTGTAAGTGAAACGAGCAATACAAGAGAACTTGACCTGTCAAATTGTCTTTGTTTATATAAATCTCTCTTTGGAAACAAATGATAAGCATTTCAGGTGTTTTCTTTATTAATTTATGCAGTATAATAAATATACTATTAACTTAGTTTTCCTGTTAGCCAAATTTTGGTTACTAATGTTGGCTAGTAATAATTTCTGCATTAGCAAACATTGTGACTAATGCTAACTGAATGCTCAGACCATGCCATTGGTCAGTTGCAATGTTGATCCTGGACCAATGATGATGTAGGAACAATACAAACACAGGGATATCAGATCATTCGTATGTATTTGTATGCTAGCAATAATTTCCACCTATACAGTCTATGAATGCCATTTGCTAAGCTGGCTAAAATAAGCTGATAATGTAGCACTCCACACCCTGATCCAAAGTGGGTCAAAGGCATGCCAGGTAGGCTTTATGCCAGTGTGCCAACACATGAAAAGCCAGAACTACAGACAAGACATTTCAGGCATTGCTGCAGTAGTATTTTCTTAGAGGATTTTTATTACATTCTAGAAAGCACTTCAACTTTGGTTGTAGGCTGATATATGTAAATCATTTTATAATACCATATTGTACCACTTCATTTATAAAACACTTTTAGAAAACAACAAGAGGGCTGACGAAAAAGCAGAAAGGGTAAGAGATGCAGAAAAACAAAAGAGCTGTAGAAGTTAAACAATAAAATAGTACATAAAAAGTATCTCAGAATAACTGTTAATATCTCTCACTGGGTCAAAGGTCAGGGAGTAAAACTGTTTTTTTTAAACAAAAAAACCCCCAAAAAGAGAGTGACAGAGTGAGAGTGACATATGGGTACAGCAGTTCAGACAGATAAAATGGAGCACAACTGTTAAGAGACTTTAAACAACTAAATGGATTTTAAAATGGATTTGTAAACAAACCGGATGCCAGTGAAGGAAAGCTAAAATTGGAGTGATGTGCTCTCACTTGCACCAATACTTTGAGTGGCAGTTTTTTTTTTGCACGAGCTCTAGGTGAGCAATACAAGGCTGACTAATTCAGATAAAAATTGCACTGCAGTAATAGAGATTAGACATTTTGAAAGCATGCCTTAATGTTTCAAGGTGAGTTTCGACATAAGACCCTTAATTTTTGACAGGAGCCTCAACTGGAAAAAGCAGGATATTAGCACCATACAAGGTAAGATAAAATGAGTTCTAATGCAGAGCCATCTTGAGGTTAAAGCTCGCTATTATTAAGCCCTTTTGACAGTATTTCCTGCCAGTTATTACAGACGGCAGGTCACCTCGGCGGAGATTACATTTCATGATCAAAAGAAACACACACACACACACACACACACACACACACACACACACACACACACACACACACACACAATACACACTTAATGCAAGTGAAACTCTTGCTGCAGGATGCTGCAGGAATCAAAGTCCCTCCCCTTGATTTTATGACTTGTGAGAGAGTGAGTTGGTGAGAGCGAGAGAGTAGAGGACGTAGAAGAGTGGTGATGCAGGGTATCCAGTCCTGTCCAGAGCTTGAATGACATTCTGAGGTTCAGTTCTTCACCATGCCACCATGAGCATAAGCTCCACTCACTGTGAAAATGGCACAAATAGGAAATTCCTCCAGTCAGGTAAGGAACATAAATAATGATAAATGGAAAGTCTGAACTAAATGTATTTCTTTAAGATAAGTGGGATCTGTGAAGTGTAATAATGACTTCCTGTCCTGTCCAACCTCACGAGCACATGGATATGGTGTACATCTCCATTGAGACCACTATTGCTCTGGCCTCTGTGGTGGGGAATGTACTGGTGGTGCTGGTGGTGTATGAAAACCGGGCTCTCCGCAACGCAACCTTCTGCTTCATTGTGTCTCTGGCCATGGCTGACATCGCTGTGGGACTTTTGGTCATCCCTCTAGCTATCGTTATCAGTGTGGGATATTACACTCAGTTCTACACATGCCTCTTCCTGTCTTGCCTGATTCTGATGATCACCCAGAGCTCCATCTTTTCCCTACTGGCAATAGCCATCGACAGATATCTGCGAGTCAAAATTCCTACCAGGTGAGGAACTGCTTTAAAAGCAGTTGTTTGTGTGTTTGTTTTTTATTGTTATTTGTTTTATCTGAAAAGGTAAAAATTAATTAATTGGAATAAAGTAGTGAAAGTTGAGAATTACAGTATCAATGTAGTAAATCATGATCTGTTTACATTGAGAAGAACTCAATATTCATAGCAGAACACCATAGGAAACTGATGTCAGCATCCTCCTTGACCGATAAAGACTGCCTGATCCAGTCCATTGCAGCTTTCCTGTCCAAAATTTATCATGCAAATTAGTCATCCACTGATCTAGGTTCTGTACAATATTCATCCTACTTATAAGCATAAATTTATTTCACAAACATTTTAATTGATATCACATTATATAGCATGTGTCTTTTGAACTTGAACTAGCAGAACATATGGTGTTAATCTCTTTTTAATTGTCTTTAGAGTCAGAGAGCCTAATATGTGCTCAATCGAGTGAATTAGGTTCTCCATCTTCATGACTGATATACAGCACCATATATCTTTGCAAGGTTTAATGCAGATAAAAACCTTTTAAGCAAATTAAAATGTTCCTGTCTATGTAAACAACTGACAGAGGTAGCATTTTTATGACAGCTGGCGGTCTACCACACAACATTTTTATATATCAGTTGGATCCTGATGTCAAGTGTCAGTTGTGAAAACTTTGAAAAATCTCAAAGGCTGACATTGGACCAATGAAACACTATAACTATAGTACTCATATGCGCATTTAGGTGAATCGGAAACCTGTCTTTTCTTTTTCATCATACTGCGCAGGTACAGCATCATAGTGACTAATGGGCGAGCGTTTGTGGCAATTTGTCTCTGTTGGATTCTTTCCTTCCTCACTGGATTGGTTCCGATGATTGGCTGGAATAACCGGGATACCGCAAACCGCAGCAACGCCAGTGAAATATGCTGCCAGTTCACCGCTGTTATAAGGATGGACTATATGGTGTACTTTAATTTCTTTGTCTGTGTGGCACCACCACTGCTGATAATGATCACTCTGTATGTGGAGATCTTTAGGGTCATACGGAAGCAACTTAACCGCCGTGCTGAGGCCACCTGTGATGGAGACAAGTACTTCCGGAAGGAGCTGAAACTAGCCAAATCGTTGGCCTTGGTGGTGTTTCTCTTTGCTTTGTGCTGGCTCCCAATACATATCATGAACTGCGTGACTTTATTTTGCCCAAATTGTATCAATCCGATAGCCTCAAAGGTAGGGATTTTCATGTCCCATGTAAACTCGGCTCTTAACCCGCTGGTTTATGCATTCAAGATGAAGCATTTCCGTGCCACACTCATCCAAATCATTCGCCGCTGCATGTTATGTAAACCCTTAGAAGCGACCGCATACCCTACAAGCACAGTAGTCCTAAATTAGAGAGTGAATTTAAGTGTAAAAAAAAGGACTGCGATATTTCTGTTCTTGGTTTCCAGTGATGGTGTATCAACAATACTAATGGGATTACATGATATATGGAACTGATAAGGAAAATAAACCCATTAGCTGGAATAACACAGCACTTCACTGAGTCTTGGGAAACACCCATATCTTAACCATTTACATTTCTGTGAGTTTCATTAGAATAAACCAAGGTTGCAGTGAGAAAAACTGAAAGAAAATTATATCTTCATCAGTCTGGCATTTGATTTGTTTTGTTTTTGTTATTAAGTTCTTTCCTTACTGATTCATATTGAATTTTTTAATCATTGTAATGTGCTGTAGATAAACATCATAAATGATGCATTCAATATTTCATGCTCAGAATGCTTCAAAGTGGAAACAAGAGATGTATTTCCCATTTTAACAAAATACATTTTACTCAGTGAGATGTTGCAGGTATGTCTTAGACATTGCCAAAGTTATTATATTTCAAGGACATTATCCATGTTTGTGCGAAAGCCAGTGGCATTCCATAGTGGGCGAAATATTGCAATATGTGCCAAAGTGGTCGACTGACTTATAAATGAGATTAGATTCATTGCAAAGATTGAATTTGGAAAACCACATACTAGATGCTTGATGAGTCACATGAACACAGTCAGAAGAGTGAAGAGATTTACTGGCATAATATCAATACAGAGTGCAGTTTGTTCTCTGGGTTTCACATAAACAGTTCAATATATGCTGAGATGAAAAGGCTCTGCCTTGAATGCAAATTAATCAATTCAGGCACTACACCAAATGAGACAAAAACTCTGCCAATATCAAAGCCTTTCAGCCATAAGTCTTTATCATAGGATGCAGGGACTTCCTCAGTGAATTCACATAGTTGAGGCCATATTTCACAAGCTGTGGCAGAATGGTGAAAAGGCTCTGGCGCATTTAAAGAAATTAACAACAGAGCATTATGTTCAAGTGATTTATTCCAACTCCAAGGCTAAAGCTTCTGCTAAAGCCGCATCGGTTCTGCATCGTCATCAGTTTGACCTCAGGACTACATCCACTCAGTACTTAATACATAAAAGCGGTATAATCCTTTTAGAATATTAAATGATTTTCCATTTGATATGCTCAGAACACCAGGCTTTGTGTTAAAACAATGGGGTTCAAAAAGGTATTTAATTATCGCTCAACATGTCAATATGTACTATATATTACCATCTCTAACCTTCATCCTCGCTGAGGGATTTGAAACTGCTGAGTGTGGTCTAATCCCCAGCACTCATCTTAGAGAAGCAGGTACCGCATAACCAACCTGGCATTTACTGCCTTTGCACCACACAGCCCTGTGAGCACTGGCCTAACAATATCTACAGTAGAGAGGTAAAAGCATGGTGTAAGTAGGAAGTGTCTATCGTGACTTCATCACACAGAAACTGAAATCTTCGCAAGGTAAGACTATTTATATGTATATTTGGAGAAACATTTAAGGCTTCTACAAAACACTATCACTACATCAGTTTGCAAAATCATTTCTTACGTTTGCTTTTTTAACATTTTCAAGCAGCAACAGAATTTTGCATGCCCAACCAACTATAAGATGGCTGACACTCATAGAGAAGGAGAGGAACAAGGGGAAGAACAAGATCTAGAGGCTCCAGAAGAAGAGATGGACGAACATAATGCTTTGCTACACTTAAGCAAATACCGTGAAGCTCAGTTTGCAAAACCGTGGGAGCAGTGGACCTTCAGAGATAAAGCAAACTATTACATGGACCGCATCTTCCTTGGGCTTTTGGTCACTTTTTTGGTCATTTTTATTGGAGAGTGTGGCTATAAAATCTGGTACTTGACAAACGTGAATGCGATTGTGGAGTTTGTTTCAGATTTGGTGGTCTTTTTGTTCGATTGGCTCTTCACGCAGGACAGACAGGAGCAGGTGGCTGAACTATAGGCTGCAATGAAAGGATTACTTGATTTGGTCTTTTTTTGTGTGTATTTTCTGCAATGTTTAAAACACAAAACATCACTAGAGAATTTGTCTGCATCTTAGTAAGGAATTTTTGTAATATTACCAGTACCTGAGCACTATTTCTGATCATTTTTGATGGAAGTAAACATATTGAATGAGCTGTCTCACTGTCATGCACTTCAATGATTTGTACCATGTGTTTTTTCCCCCAAACCAACTATGTAATTAAAAAAATTATTAATTTCAGCTATGATTTATGAATGACAACTGCTATAACTATGTTAGTCTCTGTTAGGGGCTAATTAACATGTTAATATATTTTAAAGTTGGAACATTGAAACATGCGGTGCAAATGCTTCGAAGAGTGCTGTAAAGCTGATTTAAAGGACTAATTTTTTAGGTGCCAATTCCTGTTTAATTCTCAATTTCCTTTACTCCTTAACATTTAGATGCATTTTATTAGATATCATGTTACATTTTCATTTATATATATTTAGAATTGATTTATATTTACTCATAAATATTAAATGTAGATATGTGACTTAATTGTTACAAGCCAGTTAATTTACTATCCAATCTGTACATGGAAAGTGAATAATAATAAGAACAATAGAATGTTTTTAGTGTATTTTTATGAAAGGTGTCATTCTGCTACAAAAATTTTCCACTAAATCATGTTATATATATATATATATATAAAAAACCAAACAAAAAACTTATAATGGAGCGAATACAAATGTAACTTAATTGTTCGACTTCTTCACCAAAAATCAATAATAACATGGTTTCTTACTTGTAAAGTTACATTTATAGGTGTAAAATTTGGCAAATTATAAGAGTAAAATTATAATAGCAACGATCCAGTGCACAAAAACGATTTTCTGTGTGCTGTTTTCCTGGAGATAAGCCACCTAAGTTGTTTGCACAATGGAAAATAATTTCACCAATATTTTCAACAATAAAAAGAAATTATTCTCAGTTGGGCACTTCCAGAATAAATGTACAGTGGTCTTTAGATCCGAAACTGAAGTTTAGACCAGCGTGTATTTAATATTGAAATTATAATAATTGTTACCGATTTATTTGGTCAGTGAGACGCTTGACTTCATTCTGTACCACATTACCCACAATCCAAGTCCAAAAATGATTCTGACGTATACATCTGTCATCAAGCAGACCAATGAAATCGACGCACTCTATCTCATACAACCTCCGGTACCGCCTCTCTTCCTCTTCCGGATTTTCTAGCGTGACCGACGTTTCGTGTCTATTTAGACTTAAAAGTAAGTCCAACTATCCGTCACATTATAGATGTTAGTTTGTATCTCCTTATGATTTTTTAAGGCGACCCGTGTTTGATGGTTGATTTTATTCGGCTACAAATGTGTCGTTGTTGCCTAAATTACTGTCAATAATGGAGGACTGCTACAGACAAACACTGGGCGCCATGCTGCCTCTGTCAGTCCCAACTGATGTATCCCAGCTTACATGGTTCACACCAGCATAGAGGCTCTTACACCATGTGTTCTTGGCACTGAATACAAAGTCGAACAGCGACCTGCATATTTAGTATGGTGATTTTTGTCCGTGTGTAATGTTTAGTATTTTTATTTGTAAAACATCAGCTACACTACAGCTGAACTGCTAAACCTGGGTTCTCCGAACATATTAAAAGACTCAAAGTATAATCTTAAAAGCACTAAAGAATCAAAATATTCTCATAGAACTACTAGTAGTTATACACTTCAGTTTTTTGCTTTATGAAAGTACTCATCGTTGTCCTTAAATAAAGTTATATATAAATTCACCGAGGGTGCGTGCAGGCCCCCTAGTGGCAGACCTGGAGTATTTCTGAATGTCAGACTACTCGATAAAAATACAATTTAGAAATCACCTTTTCCTGCTTTAAAAAAGAAAGGTGCTAATCTGACGTATTTTGGCCTTCCACTCAAAGGAATATTGCCAAGACTATGATTTATCATATTTTTAACCAGCTAGTACTGCACAAAATACACGTTTGTCGATCATACAGGCAGCAAAAAAACGTCATTTCTGTTGAGACATGTAGCAAAGACTTGCTTTAACTATAGATGGACTATTCATGTTTGCATGCGTGGTCACCCACTACAGGCCTATTTTGAGAGAAAAGAAATACAGCTAAACTTACACTTTCTGAAATTGTTACCTGTTTATCTTCTAGTAATATAATTAGCAGCATCAGTGCTCATTATACTCAAGTTCTCTAATCTCATGATTTTCTCCTTTTAATTACTTAATGTAAAAAATCATCAGGCCATCAAGATTAACTGTAACACAAACTGGAATATTGAGATGCTTTTCGAAATGAAATTTTCCAATTTACATTCGTAACTTGGCACACAGATTCTTCACTTCTGTTTCGTTATCACTACAGAATGCGTTACGTGGCCGCTTACCTCCTGGCTGTTCTCGGTGGAAACGCCAATCCTTCTGCCAA